GGCAGCCAGAGCTGCTCTTCATTTCTCAATGTCAGGCCGCTTTTAACTGGGCCCATACAATGCTTTAGAAGCCTAATGTTGGGCGCACAAGTGTGAAAATGACGGCTCCCTCTCTGGTTAAATGCGTTGGTTATATGGAGGCGACCAGTGGGGCTGACAGCCTCACCGAGCCCCTGGGCAAGGTGGGGGAGGGGCCCTGCCCCTTGCCTTTAGAAGAGGCAGGGCTGGAAATAGGCAGCCCTCGATGCTGTCCAGAGCATGCTGCATGGGGCTCCAACAGCAATTTAAAGGGCCAGGGGCTCCTACTATTGTCACTGCTGCAATAGTGGTAGTGACAGCTGGAATCTCCAGGCCCTTTTGTATCACCAGGCCCCCGGGATAGTTGCCTCCTTTGCCCCTTCCCCTCCCCCATCTGCGGGCCAGGATGCAGCAGTAACCTCTTCTGTGGCAAGGATGTTATAAGACTTAGATACTCTTAGGATCCCCTCCCCTAAGTGACTGAGGCCAAGTCCACACTAGATGTTTGTATCAGCATAGTAATGGTGGGGAAGATGTGATTTCCTGGATGCTTTTACCCCCACAAAAGCCATAGTGTAGGCCCAGTTATATTGGCAGAAAAGTTATTTTGCTTCTTTTGTTTAGGGAACTGGTATAAATTATACCAGGAGAAGCTGGATTTTTGGCTAGCATAAGCTGCATTTACACTGTAGGTATACTGGCTAATTCTTTCTGGTACAGACTAGGGTTTAGAAGCACAATTGCCAGTGACAGAGACTCTCAACTCGTTCGCATACATTTGTTAATCACACCTTTTAAGATTAATAAAGCACTTTCAACTTCCCTGCTGAGAAGGACAATGAAAAGGCAAAGTTTAGCCCACATATGAGAGAGGGCCACAGGACTTATGAGGGATAAAATCCAGCAGTAGAGAAGTTGTTTCCATACATGTGATGGATTCGGGAAGCTCTCCATTTCATGCCCGATGCTTCTCCTATGTGCAAAATGCCCTATAGAACTCAACAGAAAATGATCACCTTTCTAAGGCTGCAAGTTGCAAGTGAATTCTCTCAGACTTTCTTCTAAGGCAGGGGTGGCCAACCTTTTGGCTCTTCTGAAGTTAATATGTGGCTCCTTGATCAGGCACTGACTCCAAGGCTGCGGCTACAGGTGCCAAATTTCCAGTATTCAACTCCTGGCTCCATCTCCTCCTCCAAGCATATTGCGCCCTCGCTCCTTCCCTCCCGCAGAGAGCCTCCTGAGGGCCATGAAACAGCTGATTGCAGTGGGTAGGAGGTGCGGGGAAGGAAGAGGAGGCACTGATCAATTGGGCTGGTGGTGGGCAAAAGATACTGGAGATGGGAGAGGAGGCACCTGGAGGGGACTGCTGACAAATTACTGTAACTCTGTGACAATGTACATTGGTAAACTGTGGCTCCTTCTCAGGCTCAGGTTGGCCACACCTGTTCTAAGGGAAGGAATTGTCAGTGTCCCTCGTCTCTGCCATGTTTCCTTGAAAGGCCTCCACTTTTCAAGGACAGTGTGACTCCTGCCAGCCATTCTAATGCCCAGGCAGGTCAAGCAGGCTCTGTTGGCTCTGGAGGGCACTCCTGAAAGCTATCGCTATTTTTGCCCTGCAGTCTGTTGGGACTCAGAAACCTGCAAAGCTCTTTCCTGCCTGGCAAATCATTACAGAAAATAAAACACATCTGTTCCAGGAGGCTCCTCATAGCCAAAGGCCTCACTGATGGGTTTAAGTGAAGGGCAAATGATTGATATGTCAGAATATAGGGAGACGATAACCACTTAGAAGTATTTGAAAGGTGTCATTGCCAAGGAGGGAAGGGAATTATTTTGGGGGATCCCAAGAAAGGTGCACAGCTGAGGCATGGTACAATGGCCAGGGCATTTTATTGTTTTTTAGAAGACCTTGGATCTGTGACTGACTCTGCTGTTGATTTGCTGAGTGACCTTGGACAAGATTTTGAGGTTCTCCAGTCTGTGTTTATACCAGAGGCCAGACTACATGATGCAGTGGTCCTCCTGGGCTTAAATTTCATGGATCTATGAAAGTCACTGAAACCTTTGCACCTTGGTTCTCTCTCTGTAAATGCTTACATTTAAAACATCATATATAATGGTCTACATGTGGACAAGAACTAGTCTCTGAAAGAATTCCACCATGGAATTTTGAGTAACAAAGAATTCTCAGACAATCTCAATCTGCCCTTGGACAATATGCAAACAGAACAAGGGAAAATCCTTTGAACCAACCATTCATTTGGATTTATTTGACCAGCTCTAATGGCAATTTTCCTTTTTTTCCAAGGGAGGTGAGTATCCCTGCCATTTTGGGGACAGCATTAATGTATTCCCTCTCCTCATTTATTACTCATTCTTTCTTCTCACCAACCCAGAAGATGATGTTCTTTCCCAGCAGGTGGCTCATTTCAATAGGAAGAGTGTCCCAAGGGCACATACTGAGCACCTGGCTATGTCCCTTCTTAGTCAGACACCCATAACCTCTCTGTGCCAACTACAGTCTGTTTCGGTGGAAAATTAATACTGGGAAATTCCTGATATAATCTATTTGCCAAAGGCATAATGCAATCTAGTGTTCTGAGCAAGGAAATTCAGACAATGTAAAGCAGGAGGATAGTCTAGTTTATGATGATTGAGCCTTCCAGCCTCAATGCCCATGAATCTATCCTAGCTCTTTTGTGTGATTTAGCAGGAGACAATAGGAAGGAGGAGCAATTTGCTCTCTGGCCCAACAGCAAGGGTCCCAGAGATTGCAGTTTGAGAACCTGTGGTCTAGTGTTGGTTTCCCACTGACCTTTCTAAAAGCCCTCCCTGCTCTCTTTGACCCTCTGGCTAGTAGGAACTCATTCTGCTTACGTAAGGACCAATTAATTATGCTCAGTAGGACTGAAAAGCCTCCGTTTGTGTGCGGGGCCCTTTGTGCTAGGCACTATACAGAATCGGGGAAGGACACTGCGTAAGAAGAGTTTGTGCCCCCGATTCTATGCTGAGACCCACATGGAGAACCTTTTCAGCCAGCTTAGAGTCCCCGTGAAGTTGATGAGCCGCCACAGCGGTGGGCAGCTCTGACAAGAGCTGGCTGAGCTGTGCGAAAGCCATCAGGGAGCTATTGAGAGTGTGGCAGGGGTCTGGATCGCAATAGGCCAATACCTGTAAGGAGAAAATTTGTTCCTCTTGGTTTCTGAGGACAGGACAAGGAGTAATGGGCTTAAAGTGCAGCAGGGGAGGTTTAGATTGGACATTAGGAAAAAATTCCTAACTGTCAGGGTGGTCAAATATTGGAATAAATTGCCAAGGGAGGTGGTGGAATCTCCCTCTCTGGAGATATTTAAGAACAGGTTAGATAGACATCTGTCAGGGATGGTGTAGACGGAGCTTGGTCCTGCCTTGAGGGCGGGGGGCTGGACTCGATGACCTCTTGAGGTCCCTTCCAGTCCTATGATTCTATGATTTTAAGTTACTACAGT